ACCACCACTCCCCGTTTATCATCGCCCTATTCACTCCCATCCAAATCCTCGCCCCCTTCTTTTCCTCCACCCTGACCGCCTCTCTAAATCTCCATCTAGCCCGCCTTTCTCTCCAAGTCAAATCCTCTTCTATCCAAACCTTTCCCCCCCTCAATCCTTTCTTCCTTCTCATCACCTCCCTCTTCCCCTCCTCCGTCTCTAGCTTCACCACTGCCATCTTCCCCCACTCTTCTCTTCCCGTTCTCATCGTTCTCGCCTCTTCTACCTTCACCTCCGCTCCTATGCTCCTGAATATCTCCCCTATCACATTCCTCACCTCCTTCCCCTCCCCTTTATACCCTTTCACCACTACATTTCTTTTCCTTTCCTGCCTTTCCATTCTTTCCCACGACCATTCCATCTTCCTTACCCTCTCCTCCACCCCCTTATCCTCCCCTCCCTTCACCCCCCTTCCTCCAGCTTCTTCACCCTCTTCTCCAATTCCTCCATTCCCTTCCCCTTTCCCTTTATGCTCATACTCCCTTCCCACTTTCTCTCCAGCTCCTCAATTCTCCTCTCCATTCCCTCCCTCTCTTTTCTCCATTCCTCCTCCCTTCCTCTCATACTCTCTAGCTCCCCCATTATCATATTCACCCTATCCTCCATTCTCTCCTCCATCCCTTCCCACCTTCCTCTCATCTCCTCCATCCACCCCTTCAACGTTTCCATCATCCCCTCATCCTCCCCCATCCTTCTCCCCACCGGTGACCTCGAGGTTTTTTTACTCCTCTGGAAGTTACCCTCCTCCTCCTGCTTCTCCTTTCCCCCTGCTCCCTCTAACCATTCCATCACATCTCTTTTCCTTTTCGGCACCTCCATCATGCCTGTACTCCCCCTACGCTCCCTCCCTTCTCCTCCCAACCCCCTTGCCATCCCCTTCCCCACACCCTCCATTTCCTATCCCAAAGCCTTAACCTACCTGTTTCTTCCTTGCTCTCTGTCTCCCTTTATTCACTCTCCTCACACTATCTCCCTGCCACTTCGTTTTCCCTCTATACTCCTCTCACTCCCAGACTTACTCCCCACCACTCTCCCTTCTCGCTCTACTTCGTTCTATGCCGGTTTCCTCTCTACCTTCTACTCAACTCGTGCCTACGCACGCACTCTTCCTCGTCCCCTCTCACCTCTCCCGCCCCTACCCTCCCAATCTCTCACGCCGCACTCCTAACCTCACTCTCACCACACTCACTCTCGCACTCTCTATCTCTCACACCTCCTCCACCCACACTCACCTCTCTTCCCCTCCCCCTCTCCACTCCCTCCACTCTCTCTCCTCCCTCTCACTCTCCTCCAACTCACACCCTCCACTCCCTCTTCGTCTTTTCAATATTCAACTTCTAGCCTACACGTCCACGCATATCCACTCCGGAAACGGAAGTGAATCATATATGATAAATTATTCAGAAAATAAATAGAATGAATATTTTGATAAAAATAAAGGAGACATAAACCAAGATAAATTTGGAGGGAATAAAGAAATGTATGAGTGGAAAGATCCAGACAACACAAACTTCTCAAAAATACGTTTAACAGAGTATAAAAGAGAGACGTCTTACTTTTAATACATGTCTCTCCAATGTGTTTAACAAATCTGAGACCTTATTAAAGATCAACGAACAAGATTGTGAAAATATCTAAACTAATTTATAAATTTACATACAAATATTTACTTACAGAAATAGAAATATTGTATCTCTACACGTTCTCTTTCTCCTTGCTCGGCTCTTCCTGTAAAAAAACACTCCTGTCGCAAAATAAAAATTATCGCTTCCAAAATCGCTTGAACTTCTCCAGAAAACTGGTGAACAACAAACTATAAGAAAC